ACAATATTCAATTCAAATTCAATTCAAAAATACTTTATTGATCCCAGAGGGAAATTTGGTAATATCTGATGATCGACTCTTTTAAATGAAACCAGAGAGCGTTGACAGAGAGGAGAAGGTAGAAATGACTCAGCCTGGAACTGAAAATATAGATGGAGGACAACAGAGCTGCTTCATGGAAGAAGAACCTCAGCTTAGCCTGTTAGCTTTAGCGTTAGCCCAGATGCTATCACCACATATATTAGCTCAGAGCTACACATTCTCCTGTCGTCACTGAGGTCCTCCATCCACATGACAGAGAGGGGAACGCAAAAATGACTCAGTCTGCAACTGAAAATATGGATGGAGGACCTCAGTTTAGCTTGTTCATCGTGCTAGCTCCGTCCGTGTTAAAATATATTTTTAAAAATTTACAAAACTAAACAGCCTACAGTATTTTTACAGTCTTTATTTTACAGTTAAAATAAATGTTTATCAAATAAAGTCTAATCTTGCAACTAATCAGGGATCTCTTTAAGAAGTGGTACTAGCATAATGAATCTGATAAAATAAAAAAAACTTGAATGAATGACTGGAGGCTGTGGAGTTCACTCACTCAGTAAAAGGTAATAAGTGAGCTTTCTTTATGGTCTGGATTCCCGCCCTGCGGAGATCTGGTCTTGTTTCCCTTATGAATGCCTCCAACATGGCCCGGTAACAGTGCGTCCTGAGCAACTCGCTTCCCTCCCTGAGCCGTCGCACGTAGTCCTCCACAGCGTGGCAGGCCCCCTCTCGGGCCTTATAGGACAGCTGGTGTCCAGGCAACGCCCGCACCCAGGAGCTCATCGGGTAGCCGAAGTCGGAGGGAAACGATTCAGAGGCCGGTGCGAGTGACGAGGGAGGTGTGACCAGTCCTGGAGGGGTGGGGCTCTCTTTGGTTGTGATTTTCATGTAGCAACAGGCCACAGAGGTGATGCTGCGAATGTGTGGGCAGCTGACGAAGTGGCGAAGGAGGGTGGCGCTGAGGTCGCCACAGGCGTGCAGACCGGTCAAAACAAAGTCCGGAGAGCTTGGCAGGCTGGTTTCCTCTTGGTTTGCAGCCTCTTTGTCAACAAGACGGTGGACTGAGCAACCACGTGGCGTGGAATAGACAGGGTTTCAGGAAGCTGGGAGAAGCAGATCTAAGATAAAGATTTTTCTTAGTATTTATATTCTAATGTAATTTAAGAAAACATCCACATTTTTTTTAACTCAAAGTTGCTAAAAAAACACTATTTAAAACAAACAACAAAAACGTTTGCCCTGTCTGTGATGTCTTCTGTCATAGCAGTGTTTTTGAACTGTACTCTTGCTGCTCCCAACTGGACAAAAACAGCAACTACAGGTTCAACTATTTAAAAAAATGTAATGTGCAAAGCTACATCAATTTATATAAGTTCAACTCTGTGGTTAGTTAAAACAGATGTAATGCAATATTTTATGTCTTAATGCCCTGCTTTAACAAACTATGTTGCATGTTAACACATGCTTCAGATGAGAAGCATAGCTGGAAATGTAAAATAACTTAATAAAATGATCACATAATGAACTTCAGTAAATATGACAGACTTAAAGGTCGTCCTAACCTTTAGGGACATCAGGGCTCTAGACTAACTTTTTGCACTGGTTGCACCGGTGCGCCTAACATTTTTTCTTAGGTGCACCAGCATAAAAGTTAGGTGCACCCAAATTTTCAACCACGTCGCATTTAACATCAGAGTTTTACAGYTTATTRTTTWAATCACTGTTCATTAAGGCAACATTAACTCAAAAATAATTAGTTAACAATCTAGTAAACATGAAGTTCTTTGTTTGAACCAGAATTGTACAAGATCTATAACTTACTGAAAAGTATTTAAAGTGATTCTATAAAATTCTTAGTGCAAATGTTTAAGGGCTGAACATCTTATAAACATCTTAAACATTTCATGGTTACATTTTTTTAGACAACTGCCCCTCAAATGGACAACTATTGATCTTTGGCCTTGGATAAACCAGAATGATGAACAGAGAATAATGATTAAAAACAGAAATATTACTAATATTTATCAAAAGGTTGTGCAGATTTTTTAAAAATAACACATAAAAAGTCTGCAGTTTCAGCATTAGTTGACTCTTATAATCTTATATTATTTCAATTAAATATCTAATATGTCTAGTTTTATCCTCCTGAGACCCAGAAGAACTGATTTCAGATACTTGGAATGTAATTGTGGTGAAGTCGATTAAGTGCAAAAGCGGCCTGCTATACACGTGAACATCCTCGTCCTGCTGAAATGATCTGCAGCGCTCAGAGTACATCCCGACTGTTAAATTAACAAGATGGACGAGTGAGCAACCGTCCACATCTTGTTTTCATCTCCAGCTAACAAGAAAGAACTGTTTTTCAGACTCTGATCTGGGTTAAAAAAAAAAAAAAAAAAAAAAAAGCTCCGGTTCGTGAGCGCACGCGCACGTGTGTGTGTGTGTGTGTACAGATTTTTGCTTCATGGTGGGTACAATTATTAAGCATTTCCCCGGTACACACAGCCTGGTGAGGTTAGGGTTTGGGTCAGGTGTGTAGCCAACCTGGGAGGTTATGGTTGGCTACAGAATTGATGGGAAAATGAATGGAAGTCAATGCAAAGTCCCCATGAGGATAGAACAACAAACGTGAGGAGCGGAGCCGCGAGCAGAACGCAGTGTTAGGAGAGATGAGACTGTCAGTGGGCGACCATTGATACTGCTGGATTATTTTTTATGGAACATGGAAACTTTTTTTCCAGCGGGCGACCGCTCCCCATCCCCCACTCGAATGACTGGTCGCACCAGTGCGACCGGACATTTTTTTTAGTCACACTATTAGGAAATCATGTCGCATTTGCAACCAAATTGGTCGCACTCTAGAGCCCTGGACATTTTGAAAAATTTTACAATATATTTGTTAATATGATAGATATGATATTGTTCTGTAATTTCCCTTTGCAATCAAAAAAGTATTTTGGATTGAATTGAATAAAAAGCAACATGCAAAGCAAATTACCAACCTTTTTCTGCTTTTCCTTCTGCAGGACCCACAGTAACTCACTATCATATCTGGAAGCCATTGAAACTAGATCGTGATCAGCCTCAATGGCGGTCACAGACAGTCCGAGCCCAAAGGACAGGAAACGAGTTAGATGACCCTGATTAAAGAGAAATGAATGTAACGTTCAGTTTGTGAAGGCTCACATCTTCAGCTCTATTTTTGACCCCCTAAAATGCCCGATGTTTTCTTCTGTATCCCAACAATCACACCAGATGAGGATTTGTTTGTGTGCTGTACTTTTACTAAAAATGTTATAAAATCCATCAATTTTTTACAAATTAAAAGAGCTACAGATAGCTGATGAATTCAAGGCACGCAAAGGTTACCTGTCCGGAGCCCACATCCACCACTCTCCTGCAGCTGGTCTGGTCACAAAGTTGTTTTACCAGCTGTGAAACAAAGGAAAGATTTAAACACTTAAAACTAATCAGTGTGTATTTATATAAAACACACCGTGACAGAAATGCCTGTACCATGCCAAGCTTTCGAATCTCATGCTGTTTCTTGGGTTTAACGTGTTTCCTGAATATGTGCCCCAGCAGGGAGCTCTGACTCCGGTTTTCCATGAACTCCTCAGGTTTCACCAAATCCGATACCCTGCCTCCGTCACGTCTGCCTTCTCTGGGAAATGCCAGGGCATGAGACGTAGCACGAAAGGCCAAAAGAGACAGGGGCCACACTGAAGGATACCTGTGATAAAAATAAAGCTCTGCAGTTAGTATTTGTGTAATTATAAAAACATTGCATTGTAATGACAACACCTTCTGTCATTATGAGAAGCATCCAGTAGTAGGTCTGCAATCTGTGGATATGAAAGATGCTGCAGCACAGTCTGCCAGGATCTGGGTAAAGTGTGCCACAAGTTTTCAGAGAAGAACTCCTGTAAAGGAAACAATAGATTGGTTTTAACTAAAGCTCTAGGGAATATGTAAAATAATAATAATAACAATAATAATAATAATAAAAAGCATGCCTATACGTACAATAATAAAGGAGTCGCTCAAGTAGCTGTACTGAGACAGAAACGCAGTGAGTCTTTTCGCCAGCTCTTTCTGTTGAACTGAGGAGAAACTTGGTGTAAACATTTCCACATGTTGTGCAGCTGACAGTTTCACTGACATGGGACTTGTAAAGCTAATGCTAACATGCGTTAGCTTGTTAAAGCTGGATTAGTATTCCAGTTAAATTCAAAACTATATCAAATGTTGCACGTGTCACCAACTCGTCCTCAAAGCGAACACCTTTAATATTACGTAGAATGCGGTTACGGGTGAATAGCTTAAACTATGTTACAATGCTAGCAAGACCCAGCAGCTAAACTATCACTGTAAAACTCCGATGCGTTCAGGGACTTCACAGAATTTTCTGTTTTATCGGTAAGCATTAAAATTACAGATCTTATTGTAAATAGTAACTCTCTGCACTGTTAACAGAATCAAAATTAACACTTGTGGACTAGTTAAAAAACAAATATTCATTATGTCAGTGCAAACAAAAACATTTTTTTATAATGAACCTTTACATTGTTACACCAAAAAATGATGGATGTTTTTGTCCCAAACCCTATAAAAATATAAAAAGTCTTCGAATAATTTATATTTTCTTTTATGAATAGTTACATTTATCTATTAACAACTACACTTTAATTTTCGTTTAGTCAAAATTGTCTTGTCTTTAGTGTTTCCGACGCTAAAGGAAGTTCATGAAGGCAGCATGCCCCGGATGTAGAACATCTGCTATTGTCAGCTCCTCCTCATCATGACATCCAGGCGTGTTGCAGGTCTTGTTTTGTGTTTTATATCGTTATTTGTAGATAATACATCTTATGTTATTCATTCTTATTAACCAATAAATGTTGTGAAGCAGACTGAGCTGAATTATCCCTTCAGTAAACTTCAATTTCAGTTGTTATAACCACCGCCGGCATTAGCAAGCTAGCGTTAACTGTCATTATCATCCATGTCAAGACTAAAACTAACAATCAACGACACAACTGTTGCATCTATGAGGATATTTGTATTTCGATTTATTTTTGATTACGTTCGCGTGTTGTTTGCCATCATGAAAAGTATGAAAAATGTTTTAAAACGTTTTAATAATGTCAGCATATAAAAATGAAACAAATATAGTGGCGTCCTGTGGCTGTGGTTGTTAGTGAACAGTTCAGTGTTTTTCACAGCAGTTATAACCTTATAAATAAGTATTCTGAACCACAAACACAGTAACTGAAGACATAAATATTAATTAAGACAACCAAATACAAACAAATCTTGCTTTTAACTTATCCAAAACTCTAGTCAAATTTAAATACTGGCAGGTTCTCTCAACACTAGGTTGGTGAAAGTAGAAAAAAAAGTTTAATCATGTTTTTGTCTTACAGGATGCTGCATTTGAACTGGCTTCAACTGATACAATCAAGGACACAAAGGGAGGAGGACCTGTTAAAGCTTTCAGAATAAGGTGGCCTGTGTTGCACTAAGAAAAGGTTACATTTGATGTTAACATGTCAGATCTTATGTTTAATGTTTGCTCTTTGGATGACACCTCTCAGGGGAGTCATCCAACAGCAAAGGGAAAGAAAAAAAGCAACCGATTTCACAAAAGGATGAAATACTTACAGGCAAAGGGCTACCTTAGAGATAAACAAAATAAACTTTATCAAAAAGACTCAAAAAATCCACACCAGGATGGATCAAAAACTGAAAATGGAGCACCTACCACTGCCAGTGCCTTTCGCAGTAGTGCCATACCTTCAGCATCCCCTCATAACCTGCCGTCAAAGACTATCACCGTGAAAGGCAGGTATGAAAACACAAAGGAATCCACAAACACAAGAGAAACAAGCCCCCGCCCTTCGGTATCAGGATGCCTTAAACCCCCCACAGCACTGCTGGGGAATCCCACAAAGTACCTCGCAATTGACTGTGAGATGGTGGGTTCCGGACCCAAAGGCAGTATCAACCAGCTCGCACGCTGCAGCCTTGTCTCCTACGATGGAGACGTGGTCTATGATAAGTACATCAAGCCCTCCATGCCCGTCACTAACTACCGCACCAGATGGAGCGGCATTCGGCCCAGAGACCTTACCAAGGCCACGCCGTTCTCAGAAGCCAGGAAGGAGGTGAGAAAATCTAAAAAAAATACATAAATATCTGCAACTTTTTATCAAATAAACCTTGCTTTAGCACTTTTTGCAGAAATATCCGAAGAAAACATTAAATGATATCTGAATGTTTTTACTAGTAACTGGCAGTTCTTTCAAGTGATAAAAACTGGAAAGTGCTCCAGCTGACTGATTGTTTAATATTTTACTAACAACAAACCAAGCAGACGATAGCATTGTCATTCCTTCTACTGTGGATTTTGGTGAGAACAGCTCATACTGTTAGAAGTTATTGTTGTGAAGAGAACACAGGTTTCTGTATCACAACTTTAACATAGATCAGGGGTTCTTAACCTTTTTTTGACCTCGGGGCCCAATTTGTTGAACATAAAGTGACACGAGGCCCAGTCACACATTACCAATGTATGGATCAAAAATAATAATTTTTCTAATCTAAATCTTGGTTTAATTTTTATTGTATTTACATCAAAACGAAACTATCATAACTAAATTAAATACACTTACAGTTTACAAGTAAAACTCAAGACATGATTATGACAAACATTTTTTTATATTGTAACCTGCCCATAACAATTATTTGAACAAATACAGCGGTCAATCAACAGACCACTCAGGCTTATCAACACAAAAATAT